GTAAAATGCATATCTGAAAGTCTGCTCTAATATATATTCATTTCTTTGCTGTTCCTTAAATACTTGGATTATTCTCCCATCTCAGGGCGCTTGCATCTACGATTTTCTCTGTCTGGAATGTTCTCTCAGACATCAGGATGGTTTCTTCCCTCACTTCCCCTATGCCTTTTCTTAAGTATCACACTGTTAGTAGGTCCTTCCAATGTGAAAGAGCAAATGACGCTTGCTTCCTCCATCCACATTTCATATCTCTCTTATCATTTCTCCACAGCACTTACTACCAACATACACACACTCACAGACATATATATACTTTTAGAATTTTATACATACAGACATATATATATATGCTTTTTAAATTTTTATATATATATAAAATTTTATATATATATATATATGCTTTTTAAAATTCCATTGTCATAAATGCAGGATTATTAGCTGTTTTATTCGCCACTAAATCTTAAGCACCTAAAGTGATGCCCACATGTAGTGATAGCTCAGTTAATGAATCTTAATAGGGTCAGAAGGAACTCGAATGTTCTCTGATAGCTTCAGCATTACTTAATGGCAAAATCACAACCGTAACCAGAATTAGTACCAAAAAATTCTTGTGTTTAAATACAGTAAACATGATTTCTTCACAATCCTGTTATGGAATCTATATAACTGTATCATTCTATGTAAAGAAAAAAGGGTTGTTATAGTATCAAAGGAAAGCCATTAACAATTTTATTCCCCAAAGAATGCAAACTATAAGAGAACAAAAAACTCTATGACCAAAATTTTACCAAGGTGGAGAAAGTAAATAGGTAAATCAATAGAACGCTATAAATATTAAATTTATTTTTATATTAGCGAAGAAATTATTTTACAGGTGAAAATTATACACCAATTTATAGTTTGAGACTCCATAATTTAAAGGCAGATCACCTATATTATATATGTAGCCCACAGTAATCATTGAGAATTTTTGCTTCTCACAGACTTGAACTTCTGAATTGGATAATAAACATTACTATGAGATAAGAATAATCACGATTACCAGAACACTCTGTATGTTCCAGGAGCTGTGCTTGCACTGGCCACTGTCCCAAAACAATTCTACAAAGTAGGTATTACTTTCCCATTTTTTTTAAAAAAAAGAGAGCTACTAGAATTTTTGTGCTGAATTAATATTGATGTTATCAGAGGGCATTTGGGTTCCTTCTGACCTTGTGGTTACATTAATTCATTTAAGGTTTATTAATTGAGAGACCATTACATGTAGACATTGCTTAGGGACTTAGCAATGAATAAAACAGATAATGATCCTGATACAAATAAGTGATTGAATAAATAAACAAATGGGTGGAGAAGTGCCAAATATCCTTTACAGAAAAATTCTGAATTATCTATGTAAATATTCCCTCTAAGGATTTGAATCTTAACTCTTATTTATTGATTGTAGACTAAGTGTATTGGCTTATTGATTTGCTTCTAAGGACTAGAGTGTGGAAAGTGAAGAGAGGAGAAAGAGTAACTTTACGGTGGAGAAACCTGGCAACACTAACTCAGCTAGGTGATCAAGGTCAACATTATTAGTGATGTCATGCCAATAACAAGTGGGCTTGACATGGTGAGATGAGAATGGCATCTCACCTTTGTGATCTTCCTCCTCAAAATACATAACCCTGGTCTAATTATGAGAAAAGCTTCAGGTAAGTCCAAATCGAAGGATAGTGTACAAAATACCTGTCCGGTACTCAACACTGTCAAGGTCACCAAAAACAAGGAAAGCCAGAGAAACTGTCACACAGGAAACAAAGGAGATTTGACAGCTAAATGTCCTGTGGAATGCTGGATCGGATCCTTAAACAGAAAAAATGGCATTGGGGAATAATTAGGAAAGTCTAAATAAAGTATAGAGTTGAGTTAATAATAATGTATGTTTAGTTGTAAAAATGCACCATAGTAACATGAAATATTAACACTAGGAGAAAGTGGGAAAGGAGTGGACAGGAACTCTCTGTACTATCTAGCAACTTCTCTGCGATTCTAAAACTATTTAAAAATAAATTCTTTTTTACAATATATACTTCACACACACACACACACGTTCAGCCTCTTAAACAAACATGCAAAGAGGACATGCTCCCATTTCTGACCAAGCACATTTACTACTCTCCTAACAAAAAAATGAAGCAAAATGGACCCCAAGATATTCAAACTGGAACCACCATGGAGGACAGTGTTTCACCTTGGATGAGTGAGGATGGCTTTACTGGCTAAGCGTAAGAGAGAGACTGTAGAGTATAATTACCTGGATGAAAGATTTTGGTTTTTCTAATGTCAGGGATGGATGGGAGCTTCAAAATCTCAGCTTAACATTAGAACGTCAGGGAAGCTTTCTTGTGCATGAGAAAAGGCTCATTAAGAATTTCTGTTACTGGAGGTGAAAATCAGAAGGGGTTACTTTGGAGATATTGGGAGTAGTCTACAAAATAGGCCAGCTATGGGAGCAGTTAACCACAGGAAAACAATTGCCAGAGATGCCTTTAGGGTGCAGGGGCAGAAAAGCTTATCTGCTCAGTGGAATGTGATTGAGTCATCTCAGGGACTGATTCCTGACTATGGAGACCAAGGCACCAAAAGCTCTGGTCTCCAAAGTGCCATAGGAGCATTGTAGGCCTCAGGTTTAAGGGGTTTTGCTGTTGTAATTAAACATCAAAAAACGTATGAAGAATGTTTGCTAGTTAGATTATGTTTTTCCCTTTATGGAACAAACCAGTGAACTTTTATCACCTCGTAATATAAATTTGCAGTCTATGTTCCTGAAAAATTGAATGTAAAGATTCAGATATAATTCTCAATTTGAGAGAAGCCCAAACATGGAAATGGGTTATACAAAGCAGTATTATAAAGAGTAAATTCAATTTTTGCCTTGATTATTTTGTGTCTCTTGTCATGTCTACACTGATCAAAAGAAGAAGTGGAATTTTTTTTTTCTTTTTGCTTCCAAAATGAACTTTGTCCTTCTGAAAAAGAGACACACACTTCAGGCAAAATAAAAATATGTATCTTTCTTTTGGGCGCTGGCCATTTACTGCTCTTACATATGATTGCTTTTCTCAGGTGTAATAATTTATTGCCTATTAGTTCACTATTGTGCAGGATCACTATTCTCCCTTTGGTTGCATGAGTAACTCCATTAGTGGTAATGAACTGTGTCATGGGTAATCACACCATTAAGACCTATCTACCTTAAACCCCAAAGCTTGAAACCCTCTCAGCTCTCAGTCCGGCAAAGAGAAAAGGAGCAATGACCTGCAAAGGTAGAGACCTGAGAACCTCTGGAGATATTAAGTTTAAGCTTAATAGTGAGTCATTAATAAATAAGATGCAGTATAATTATCAATACGAAGCACATTTAATAATTAATACCTTGCAAACAAAAAAGAAATGAAATACCGAGTGGAATTAGACAGAGGTTATATTCAGTTCCCCTTGACAATCCTGACTTGAAGGAGAATTCACAAACTGTTAAAATTATGAAAGAGCCATTTCCCCAAAGCTCAAGAAGTGAAGCCACTTAGTAAATAGGATTCTTAACACTCATCTTTCTGCGCTCTTACAAACTTTACCCATACTTGATTCTAAAAGTACAACTCCTCCCACTTAATTACAACTTTTCGTCTTTCAATTAAATATAAAAATGTTTGGGTGTATGTGTGTGATTAATAAAAACAAGTGGCAAATGTAGCTGAAACACAGCCTCTTTCATCTCTCATTTTTATGACATGGGAGTCTCAGAATGGAATTTGCTGGCAGTAACTTCAGTTTCTACTCGCTATCCCAATTTTTGACAACCTATAGTTTGTGAGTTAGGGGAGATAACTAATATTTAATGAGTATTCACCAAAATAGATTAATTTTGCATTGGTTATCTCATGTAATTATCTAAACAAGCCCATGTAATTAAGCTTATTAACCTCAATTTTAGACCAGAAATTTGAGGCTAAGAGAGGCAAAATCACTTTCCCCAAGATTACAAGTAGTAGATTGACAATTTCATTACTGACCTTTCTGATCGTTAAGCTTGTAGTTTTTCAATTCTGTTCCTAAATATATCTTTAAATAAGATATGAAAGTCTTCTTGTTGCTTTGCAAATGGTCGTATCAAAGCAATGATGTGTTTGTTTATATAACACTTCAATCAATCACCTATATTATTTAGCAGTTTGTCAACAGGCGGGAAACCAAGGGATAATAGCATTTCCCAAGTCACTGATTTGAAAGAAAATCCAGTCATTGCCCTGCATTAGTGGCCAGTCAAATCTGTGATGAAAGGAAAGAATCAGGCTTTCACCATCATCAGCTCATAAACTTGGCCACATCACCAGCCTTCCCCACTGCACTAACCACTCAGCTCTCCTGAGAGGTTGAAAGAGAGATTTCTAATTTCTTTCTATCACTTTCAGCCTAGCATGAGCAATTCTAGCCTTCATCATGAAATATGTTCACTTTAGGCTAAACAAAACCAGAGAGGTAACTCGGTATGTTTTAGAGTTCCCAACTGCAAGGGGTTGTTTTGGTTTTTGTTTTTTGTTTTTTCAATTCTCTTCTACTAGAAGACCAACTGCTTATAAGGATATGAGATTTTCTTAGGAATGGAATGTTTGTTTAGTCATGATGAAGCCACACTTTAACCATCTATGCTCCTAGTGACCCCAATCTTACTTTCTCTACCAAGTGTTTTCCAGCATGCTGTGAACAGTTAGTTGTTCCATACTTTTAAAATTGAATGCCTGAGTTTATGTTTGTATTTCAGATTCTGTTCAAAATACTCCTCAATTCTACTGACATTCTTTAAATTTTACAACCAAATCTGACTAAAAAACCCACCCTTAAGGTAATGATGATAATAATTATAATAAAAATAGAGTAACTGCTGTCATAAAATAGTTTCTTACTTAACAAGTTTTAACAATTAATAAGTGTTAGAAAAATGACAGAATGCTTACTATCATTAGTGATTTCTTTCTCACTGAATTGAACAATACAAGGAAGCCTTAAGGTTTCAGAAATTCCCCTTCCTCAAAGGTCAGACAGGCAGGTAGCCTCATCCACTATGACCTAAAGGAAAATGAAAGAGAAACAAAATTGCCATGGGAAATATGAACTTGGTATAAACTTGTCAAAAAGAATTCATCTATCCAAACAGAGTTAAATTAGGATCCCCCATATATGTAGTCTCTCATAATAACAGCTGCAAAATATCACATTCAGCTAATTTCAGGAAATGGCCTCCCTGCTCTTTGGTACTTATCTGAATTCTAGTCGTCTTTCAAAGCTTGTATCATTGCATTTTCCTCCTGAAGCCATTGGTTCTTACCCTGTTCCTTTCTCCATTTTGAGCTATTTTATATATAGGATTGTACCACAGAAATAAACATGTAACACAAACTTATTTTACATTGTAAGGCAGATAATTTCATGTGTCATTCTCATCTCTCGCCCAAGAAGCTGAGCCTCTTGAATGCAGAAATGTCTCCTTCCTATATTTGCTCACTGCAACTAGCAATGAGCTAGGCACATGTATTATACTCAACAAATGCCCATAAACTAACTACTGGGTGAATATTAAATGATCCTCTGATGTTATTGTATGTTCCACTTGGAGCATGTTTCATTATTTGTTATTCTCTTAGAGTGTTTTATTTCCTTTTAATTTATGTTCTGATTTATATTTCTGAACCTCATATGCAAATGCTCTTTTCTTTCCTCTTGATCAATCCAAAAGCAACATTTCGTTAAAATCCATCCTTAAATCCAGCTTCTTCCAGGAAGTCTCTGTGATACACCTGTGTGTAGTGCTTTCCCCTCTCACAGTCATGATTTCAATGATGCTAGCATGTTCTTAAACATCATTACCCCACACTATTCTTCAGTGTTTTCCACCACACTTTTTTTTTTTTTTTTTTTTTGAGACAGAGTCTCGCTCTGTCGTCTAGGTTGGAGTGCAGTGGTGCAATCTTGGCTCACTGCATCCTCTGCCTCCCAAGTTCAAGTGATTCTCCTGCCTCAGCCTCCAGAGTAGCCTGGATTGCAGGCACTTGCCACCACACCGGGCTAATTTTTGTATTTTTATTAGAGACAGGGTGTCACCATGTTGTTAAAGCTGGTCTTGAACTCCTGACCTCATGTGATTTGCCTGACTTAGCCTCCCAAAGTACTGGGATTACAGGCGTGAATCATCTACCACACATTTTATTTCTCCAATATAATATATCTCCAAGACATATCTTATTACAGAAAATGTGGTTTTATGGTTGAATTAAGTGTGTGCATATGGAGAAAAGCATAAACCATTTTAAACCACTTAAAATTATTAAAATTGAGATAACTAAACGTTTTGTTATGTTTGTCTTATCTTCAAAAGGTCTCTAAAAAGTACAATAGTCAAAAATATGTAATATTCATTTTTAAAGCAAAGGAAGAAAAAGTAGAGTGTTTATAATTGTTAGTGGATATGGATTTTATTGGGATGTATTTTACACTTTTACCACCATCTGGCATAGAAATATCACTATTTGATAGTTCAGGATTTTCAATAAGAAAATTTGGATGATGTATGTGTGGGGGTGTGTATGTAATTATCAGGTACTTAATGGAGACTACTGAACTTTTAATTTGTTAAATTAAGATCTGATTATAAACAAACAGTTCTTTCAATTGCTTTATTGGTTTTAAAAATGAGTTCTCTTACTATCCATATCAGTGATTTGTAGATTTATGAACTTCTCTCCATTGTAAGGTACTTGCTTTGTAAATAATATATGCTTTCATCAAAGCCATTGTAACTCTAAAAGAAGAGATTGTAAAATTACCTTTAAAAACTTGGAGAAGAAACAGAGAATTTTGAAGAATAGAAGATAATATTAAAAAGAATAAGTATTGAAAACAAATATATATTTCATAATTAACTGTACAAAATATGACTTGAAGGCTTCTCTGGGTTTGTTTATTTATTTATTTATTTATTTATTTATTTTCTTTTTCTTAGAGACAAGGTCTCACTCTGTCACCCAGACTGGAGTACAGTGTCAAGATCATAGGTCACTTCAGGCTTGACCTCTTGGGCTCAAGTGATCTTCTCACTTCAGCCTCCTGAGAGGCTGGGACTCAGTGACTTGGAGAAGGGGTGGGGGGAGAGAGAGAGAGACACTGTGTTATAACAGGCATGCTTTTCAGTTGCCAGCCCAATCCCCTTTCCTTTGTAAGAGTCTCCTCTACCCTTCAGCATCAGCTCTCTTACGACCTCCCTCAACTCTTTATCTCTTAGTCTCTCAATTTACAATTAATTTGATGAGAATAATAAATTATTTCCTGACCAGTAAAGCAACTGAATGAGGCAAACATCATTAGAGCTTAATTTAACAAATTAGTGTTCAACTGTGTTGACCCTAACCAGCGAAGAGTCCCGGGCATAATAACATGCTGTGTGAATTCTGATGGTGTCTCTCTGTGACTCACAGTCATCACTGCTTCTTGTTGCTCTAGCTGAATCTGTTCTGTACTGGCACCCCTTCCAGTGCCTCATAGGCCTGTGGTGCATTATGTTTTCCACAACAGTGAATTAAGTTGGAAAAGTCAATGACATTTCCACAAAGCTTTATGAATAATCAAAAGGAGGAGTATCACGTCCGTGTCTCTTGATTCTATGCATGTTGTTTTCTGTGCCCCCAATCATGTCCCTTCTTGCTCCTTTGCTTCCTCCTGTTTCTCTGTTAAGACTTCCCTGAGACATCTTCTTTAGCAGAAAGTCTTTGCTGACCTCCCAGGCTAGCCTTGCTCTTCTGTCTCTCTGCCTCTGTGTCCTGTGCATCCATCATGGTACTCACTACCTCGGTAACTGCCTGTTTACTTGTCTATCTTTCAAAGCATTCTGTCACCCACATTGAGAGTTCTCTCTAAGTGTGTACTTAGAGATGTCTTTAACATCTGTGTCTCTGCTACAAAGCATCAGGGTGCCTGATAATATAAATTTGAATGAATGAATGAATGAATGAAAATGGAGGAAAGCATGAATGAATAGCCGTATTCATGAATAGCTATCTCCCTTTGTCTCACAGTCTAGGCTCCTTAGCCTGGTCACCAGATTTGCCCCCTTCCTTTTCATCTTCATCTCCTGTAACTTTTCCCAAGTTGCCTGGTTATTCAAGTAGTCCAGTCATCCAGGACTTACTCTTTCTCATTTAAGCCTTGTAGTCTTACACCACAAGTCTATCCTGGTCATTCTAGTTAAAATGTTTTCTGTTTTGTATGCAGTGAAAATCAAGGTTAGGCTTAAATGTTGCTGCCTCTATGTTCCCTGAGCATTTTGATCACAACGCTAATTTAGCACAGATTACATTGCATCCTGGCCGGTGATCTATCTATGTTTCCTGTCACACTGAACCCTTTCTTTAATGACCAAGAGAGCCATTTGTACCTTCAAAGAGATTAAATAATTTGCTTAAGACCGTAAAACTGGCAAAAAAAAAAAAAAAAAAAAAAAAAAGCATGCAGGCAAACCCAGGTATTTTGCCTCCAAATCCAGTACTCTAAAAATATTTCTTCTGAACATCTCTTTCTCTTCCACACTGGCTTAAGAATTTTATTACTTTTACTAATATACAAATACACACATACATACACATATATTTTTCTTTGTATCTTCTTTTCAAATACATGTCTTATAAAACTCTGGAAACAAAAAAAATGTAGTTGGTAAATGCAGAGACCCTTATTAGAGAAAATTCTGAATGGAAAACCAGGTACCAGCATATATTCCCAAAGTTATGCAAACTTCTGTAGTAGTATTTACCATGATTAGGCAGCTTCCTTTGCTATTATTTCCTACTCCTAAACAGTTTACGTTCCAATGAACAAGATAAAGACTAATGAAGGCTGAATAAATTGCTTTAATATTCCTACATTTGAAAAAAACCTTTTGAAAATTCCTATATGAAAACCAGTTTTGGAGGAGAAACTCTGTCAAGCTATAATGAAGCCCAACTGTAACTAGCCAATGTCGGATATATTTTCTAGGCTGTGTCTCCAGACCTCTTTCACATTCTCTGACAGCAGTTCAAATACTCAACAGAGTGCCCCGGGGGCAGGAGTAACGGAAGGAGGAATTATTTTAAGTAGGCCAGCTCAGCTTGAAATAAGTGCAGTCTGATCATAGGTCTTGGAATTTGGGGCTTTCTGAACTGTAATCCTAGCTCAGACACTGATCCCTCCTGTGACCTAGGATAAATTACTCAACCTTTTTGCCTTGGTTTCCAGATCCCCTAAATAGGGATAATAATCCTGACCTCAGAAGGCTAGCATATGAATTAAATATCTGCAAGGCCTGATCTTAACGACAGGCAAATGAAGCATCTCGTTCTTGCAGATATAATAACCCTTTCAACTCAATTTAACAAGAACTATTTCTGCTAAAGAAACAAAAGGTGGCTGATTCTGGTATCTCACCAGCCTGAAATTGTTGATGCAGCCTCAAAAGGAAATCACCCTCATAAATGAAAAAAACTTGAGGCTGAAAACAAAACATTAACAAAATATTGATTTTACCCCAAACCACCATACTTGGTTGGTTCTTTTGCTGTAACAAGATAGCTTTTGAGTTTGGCCTTCCTGAGCATTGGGACAGTAGTTAGCTTTCCTGAGCACTGCTCTCCCAAGGTAAGACTTATCAGTATATTTCTGTTGTTTATTTCAATAGTTTGAAGATACATTTAGTTGGAGAAAGATTCAAACTATGATCACCAACAGTTCAAGGACAAGACTTTTTGACACCTGGAAGTTCTATCAAAAGTGATATTTTATACAAAAATTACCTGGGCATAGTTATTGTGTGTGCCTGTATTCCTAGCACTTTGAAAGGCCTAGGTGGGCAGATGACTTGAGCCCAGGAATTCGAGACCAGCCTGGGCAACATAATGAGACTGTGTCTCTTAAAAATAAATAAATAAATAAATAAATAAATAAATAAATAAATAAATAATAAAAAATTAGCCAGGTATGGTGACATGCACCTATAGTACCAGCTACTCAAGAGGCTGAAGTGGGAGGATATCTTAAGCCTG